CAGTAATTCCATTGCCAGTAATCTATTTTTTGCAGAGCGAAGAGACTTGAGCAGCCACAGAACATTTCCATTACAGAGCTCTGGACCTCCTCTTGTCTGGGGCTTTAGGTATTGATGAAATCCCTTAAGTTTAGCTATTTAAGAAAGAATGTTTTTGCGTTCCCAGGCCCAGTTTGTTACAAGGGAGGACATTGTCCAGAGCTATGATCAAGCTGCATCTAAAGAACTTTGAATTTAATATCTTCCAGCTTTTTTCAATACCTCCATCCCCACTAAAAAGTCCTGAACCTGTTTTCTTAATTATTTGCATATAAATGTAGAAAGACGAGCATTATACAGAGGAAGTCCAGCTTTCGCTTCTATTCAACCCTTAGTTGAGGTAAGTCTCAGTGTTATAGATTTCACAGAATACCATGCATTTATTTTTCTGTCTTTAAGGACCCTCCATAGCTGGAGGACTTGCCACCTCAAGGGTAGTCCAGTACCACCAGCAGCAGAGGAATCCCAGGAAGTTTGTTAGAAGCATAGAGTGCACCAGACTTGCTGAATCAGATGCTGTACTTTCACAGACTTCACAAGTGATTCCAATGTATATCAAGTTTTGGAAACTGGTTAGAGCTGATTTAGTTGATGCTTCTGCCTATACAGTGGGGCTCTAACTAACATATTTTTCCACCTTACAACTAGATTGCTCAGCATAAAATTACTGATTTTGTTTGTTTTAAATTAAGCGTTTTGGAAACTGTCTCATAATTTTTAATGTCAAATTGCTAAAATATGCCCAATGTATTTTATCTAATATCCATAAATCTTTATGAAATGATCATCTTTTACTCCAGATGTATAAGAAGCGTACTCAGTCCAAGGAACCTGCTTTGCACATGGTGCCTTCATGAGTCTTGCTTGTTTTCTGCCTGAAAACATGGGGCCCAATGAGGCTGTTCTGCTCATCCCACCAGCACATTCAGTGGGCCCACACTCAGGCCTCTTCCATGGCAAATCTCCTCTTCTTTCCACTATTCTAGATAGGAGATAATATGGGAAAATGAGAAGATTTTATTCCAAGCCCTTTCCTACCCACTCCTCCTGACTTTTGAGACTAAGCCATTCTTTGTTGGGTGGGACTGTTCAATAGGAGGTTTAGCAGCATCATTGGCCTCTACCTTCTGCTGGCCTATCCCTATTGCTAGGCCATGGACAGCAACATACAGCCACGTGATAATCACCAGTCTACCCCGGCTCTCCTTCCCCCACCAGTGGTGACAACCAAAATATATTGGTGTTGTGAAATATCCCACAGGGGACTTAAGCAGTCCTAGCTGAGAACTACTGACCTTGAAGTATGTCAGTATGCGCAATTTTACTCTTAGTTTTGAGTTTCTCTTTCATCTAGCTCTTCCTTGTGAGACTGCCCCCTTCTGGTCAGTGTGAAGCTCCAGGTAACCAAGGGTTTACACCCCCACAACTGATGTCAGTTTACTTTGATCTTAGAGTTCCATGCAAATAAAAGGATATTCAATTTCTGCTTAATTGTCTTTGCAGGTGCATTTACAAGTTTAAGAGTTTTATTATTCTTCAGGGCTCACTTTATAAGCATTGCTTGCGAAAGCTGAGCAGATGCACATATCATCGAAACAGTTTTGGTTTAGAAAACATGCAGGTCCTTCAGCCCATGTCTATCTCCATAAGTAGCAGTGTGATCTTGGGTAAGCAACCTTCACTGTGAAACAAAATTCTACCTGATAGACTTACTGTGAGAGTTAAATAACATGTTCAATCAGTAGTAAGAATCATGTCTAACACAGAGAAAATCAGCAATTTATTCTGCTTCTTCTAAAGCTACTTCTTGTTATTATTCTAGTATTTCATCTTTATATATTAGTTATATTTTTGTAATAAGACAAATATTCAAGCAATATCTTATATTCAGATAACTTTCAACAGCTTATCTGAATATTTTTGTATTGATTTTCATATTCAATAGGCACAGATATTAGAAGTGGGAACGTTCAAACTCATTTTACAGACTAGAGAGACACTAAGGTCAATAAACTTGATGTACCAACATTTCAGTTAGTTAAAAGCAGAGCCAAGATTCCAACCTACAACAGACCCCCCTTCAGTGCTCATTCGTGTCCTTTACTCTCTGGCCTAAAGAAAGTAAGCAGTTTTCAAGGGGAATTAAATATCAAGATTATTTATATTTTCCAATGGGGTTCTAAAAGGAAAATTGTTGCAATCCATGACCAAAATTTCATGTGTATGTGTGTGTGCATGTACGTACGTGTACATGTGTATATGTGTACATGTGTATGTATGTATATGAGTGTAAGCATGTGATCTTAGTGGGGAAGACTTCCGGCTTCCATGAGTAAGGATCCTGTCCACTACAGGTTCTTGTAGATGCTCTTAATAAGAGGCGGGAGCTCCCTTCTGTCACAACTTTCTCAAGCAGTGTGTTTTTTAACCAAGAATGGGTGGTCGATTTGCCAGGTACTTTTTGAGATTGTCGCATGCGGTATTTTCCTGTCCTTAAATGATATGATGGTTGCATTGACTGATTTACAGAAAGCAAGCTGTTTTTGTCTCTGTTTCCACTGCCATGTGCACGCCCAGCAGGGACACGCGGCCACGGCCCCTCAGAAGGCTCGAGGTCCTGAAGTGGAGGAGCATGAGGAGGGAGAGTAGGAGGAAGGTTCTGGGCCAGACTGGTCAGGGTGAGCATTTGTGGAGTTGTGAAGCCATTGTTTTGTGTGTGTGTTTCCTTGGTGCTAGGTAGTTGCCGGTGCTAAGCACTTTGTGGAAATATCTAGTCTTTCTAGATGTTCTGGATGCCTGGTATAGGGTCATAGTTGAAGCAGTCAAACACATTTTATAAGTAATCTTTTTGTAACAATGCATAGAAAAGTTTGTTTTTCTTTGGTGGGGGGTGTGGTAGCTAGACTCCCCCTGAGTGGCCTGCATAGTGTTTGGGTGCTGGTGTAGGGGAGGAGAGGGAAGGAGTGGGAAGAGCTCCGTGCCGTCCAGCTTCTAGTGCGGCGCCACGGACCACAGTCCCCTGTGCGTGTGCATTTTGGTCACTCTGCTCTCTATATGCTGTATAGAAAGGATCGATGCGTCCTGACTTGGAGCTGCAAACTTGGAAACCACAGAACCTTCTTCCACAGCTGTAGCTGTCTGGGGAATTTACTGAGAGAAACAGGAAATGGCTCCCATTACGGTCACCCCTGCTGTCCCGGAGTGCCCAGGAGGCGGCAGCAAGAGATCACAGGGAGGACAGGAGGCCCTGCAGGGATGCAGATGCCCGCAGTTGCCGACACAGCCCACTCATGATGGCCACCATGGACAGAGGGCCCCCGAGGGACTCAGGCGCTCTCTGCTAGACATGACATCACCCCCTCTGCCCCATGTGGACAGAAATCCCCTGGGGACAAAGGCATCCTTAGCAGTCACGCAAAGCCCAGCACCCGTTCCTCCAGGAACCCTACTGGGGGGTTCACAAGCCTATGCCACCCTGGATCCCAACATGTGACCCCAAGTTCTGGAAGAGTAATTGACCCCTGGCTCTGCTGGTGCATCTGCAGACATGAACCATCCTGACTGCTGACACCTCCACCCCGGGGCTCCCTGATATGCACTCTGTCGTCTACACCAAGGGACTGATGTCGGGGTGCCCGTGAGGGAGGACTCTCTAGCTCGACAGGCATACATAGCTGCCCTGTGTGTCCCATCTAGGTGCACCCTCCTCAGGTCCTGCACAGTTAGCACCTAGGTCTCCCAGATGCCAGGTACCATGTCGTGGGAGGGGGGATGATCCATGGTTTTTCCCAGAGTGCCTTGTGTGGGTACTGGCACTGTGGGGTGGTCCTAGCCACTCCCACAAACACATGCATCAGCCCAATTCCCACTGACTCAGCTGCCTCCCTTAGCCCCACAGGCAGCCTGCCCAATCCAGCCCAAGGCCTGTGGAAAAGTTGAGAAAACCTTGAAGAAATTCACCACGGGTTTCAACATCTTCAGAAAAACGAACTCCCCTGACCATTGACTTCCCTGCAGCTTCTGGCTCTGAGCTGTGATTCTGCACATGGTGGGCCTGGTGCTTGCCATGGTCTCGGTGCAGCAGCAGAGGGGATCCACCCCTGAGTTCCCAGTCCCATGATGGGCAGGGACTCGGTATTGTGTCAGTGACCATGGCCACTTGCTCTCAGGTGAGGAGGGGCCCAGTACCCAGCCAGGTGCCTGACACAGAGCTGGAGCCCTTGCAGGGAGTTGTTCCCACACCAGGAACACTGCACAGTCTCCCATTTGCAGCCACAGTGCATCTCGGCCTGGATGCTAGGTGCTCTGTCAGTGGGGGTGGTTCCTGGCCTGGCCTGGTTTCTCTCCTGTGCTGTGGACACCACTGCCTGCACCATCCAGGCCAAACACTCCTGGGCTCCTCCTGTCACAGCCCCATCCGTGGGCACTGGGATATGGGCTGGCACAGCTGTGATCACAGTGACCGATGGTGATGCGGTTCCCCAGGCACGGAGGTTGTACCCCTGCTGGGAGAAAGGCTGCCCTGTCCATGTGGAACTCATGTGAGTCCTCACCCAGGAGCCAGGAGCTGAGGAGCTGGGAGCTCGTGGAGTGCTCAGGGAACCACATGCATCTCATTTCACCTGGCTCCATGGGGCCCTGTGGGGAGGGCTGTGAGCCCACGTCACAGATGAGAACACTGAGGCTCCAATGAGGACACCAGCCACTCTGCCTACCCTCAGAACCTGTGTTCCTAACCATGAGGGAGCACTGACCAGCCCATGGCCATGCCCATGGTTCCCCTGGATTCCTCACTCTTCTGGGCAGTCAGTGAACCCTGGACACACAGGGGCTTCCTCCTCCCTGCTCCAGGACAGCAGCGGGTGCCCTGCAGGTCGCCATGGGGCTCCCATGTACAGCAGGGAGAAGGTGGCTGCACAGCACGGGTGGGGACTCAATGCACTGGCATCCACACAGGAGCATGAAGAGAGCTATATTGGACTACATACAGAGGGAGACTGAAATAAACTGTCTCAGAGAGCAGAAAAGGGAGCTACAAAACACTATGTTGCCCAGGGCAGGATGGCTCTGGCTGGAGGTGGCCCTGGGAGGACCCAGGAGCTGAGCTGTGCAGAGCCGGGTTTGCTGCCACCACAGATGTTTCATTCATGGCTGGGGCCAGAGTGGAGCCCCTATGAGTGGATGGGGAAACAGCTTAGAAGGATGCGCACCCAGCTGGGTGAACGACGGTGGGGACGGTCCTGATTGGAGATTGTGCGCTGCCCACGCCGGTGGACCCAGGGCCAGCACAGCTTCGTGAACCAGGGCTGGGGACGATCTGGCTCTGGTTTGGCTTCTGGACATGCAGGAGGCTCCAGGCTGTCCACATCTGGCACAATTGCCAGGGACAAACAGGCTTCATCTGGTTCTGGCTGGGGAGCAATTGTTGGCACCAAATCTGACCCCAGAAGTGCAGCAGCCACTGCAGGAGGCACCTCCAGGTCTCCTCCTGGTGCTGGAGCTGCAGGAGGAGAACATGTCATGAACACCACTGCCCCTTCCTGCTGTCCTTGCCAAGAGGGAGATGTCCCTGGCTTCCAGAAGAGGCCCAGCCCTGTGCCCACAGCAGAGCCCTGGGCGGAATGTGCTGCAGCCCCGGGACTCTGAGCCTAGTCTTCACTCCAACCAACACCAGCCTTGGAGTCTCCTAGTGCTGCCCAGCTCCAAGGCCATCCTAGGTTCCCAAACACTCACCCACGCCCTCCTCACCCTCAGGCTCAGCCTCAGCCTCCTTGGGCTCTGGATCCTCCAGCTGCATCAGGAGCAGCTGGGCTTGGCTTGCCAGGTCCAAGAAGGGCATATGGAGCTGGACGTAGGTCACCAGCAGTTTCAGGCTGGCCCGGTCCTGGAAGTCCTCCGGGAAAGAGTCCAGCCAGGTTCCCAGGATGGTGCAGAGGGCGCTGAGGACAGGCAGGCAGGCAGGAGTATCAGAGGCCTGGAGTCTCCTGCCCCACAACTCTCTCACACACCTCAGTGTATGCAGCCTGGGCAGAGAATGCTCAGCACCAAGTGCAGGTGGGCAGTGGGAGGCCCTTGTGTGAGCTGTCTGTGCCCAACCTCAAGTCCTGAAATAGGAAGGGGTTGGCCAGGCCTGCTGGATGGGTTGTGTCGGGATAAATCTCACTGCTTCTCAGATGCCCTGCAACCAGACAATTCTGTTCCCTGCTGTAGGCAAGGGCCCTGACCTCAGCCCTCAAGCAGGAATTACAGCAGGGTCATGTTGGGGTCATGGTCAGCAACCTAGTAGCACCGCCATGTCCCTGTTAGGGAGAATGGAACCTCCCTCCTCAGCCAAGCCCACTCACTGCTTAGCACAGTCGTCCTCTTCACAGTCGGACCGAAAGTATGCATACCTAGAAAAGGGCAGGAGGTGTCACCTGTGGTGTCCTGTGTCCCACCTGCCAGGAGGTCTGGGGGAGGGGCTGATTCCCTGACTAGACAGGAAGCAAAGCAGCAGAGATACGGTGGTCTGTACTGTGCACTGTATACTACTGAAGGCCTGGACAGGAACCTGCACATCGTGGATACTTCATTGTATATGCAGTGTGAGTGATTGAACTCAGCCAGCCGCTTGCAGGTGTCAGAGTGGCACTGGCGTACTCTACTGCCCACGGGTTCTCAGTTTGAGCCACAAACAACACAGAGACCTCCACGTAGAAACCGGAAGTTTCTTTGTAAATAGAAAAATTGATTTACCCAAGAACATGAGTGGTAAGGACTGAAGCCCAGAGACTCAATCTGGGTGAGGAAAATCCTAAATGAGACCCCTGTCCTGGGCACCCACTCCTCAGGGCCAGGCACAGGGAAACCCTTTCTGGGGCTCATCCCCTTGGTTCTAAAATCACCCAGGGGCTGTGCCGCTTCGCACCCCCATTCTGCGTGGTTAATCTGAGGCTGTGCAGGGCCTGGGGCATCCCTGAGACCCAGCCTGGAGGTGCTGAGTCATGGCAGGTCCAGCAGGTGCAGGCCCTCACCTGTGGAACAGCGTGTGCAGCACCTGTTGGGTGGTGATGAACCCTCGATAGGTGTGCAAGAAGGTGGGGACGATGAAGGGGTCCCCTCGCTGCTGAGCAGGCACCAGCTCATCCACCAGCTTATTGACCATGGCTGTGTCCAGGGTCTCCACGTTGCTGGCAGCCGACAAGGAGAGCTCAGAAGTGACATCTGGTTCCTGGAGGGGTCCTGACCCCGGTCCAGCGGCTGGGCACTCAGGGGCCTCAAAAATCAATGCAGCAGGAAGAGGGACTGCCCAGGGCAATGATGTTTCTGCAACAGAGAAAATAGCAACAGCACGGACTTGCAGCTCATTGTACCCAAAGAAATTTTCCAAGCCTTCCAGGGAAGTCCCAGGATGCAGGAGCCCATACAGGCAGAGAAAATATCAGCACCATAACCCTTCCAGCTCCCTGTGAGAACACGGGGGTGCCCCTGCCCTGCAGAGCTTCCCCAGCCCAGCGCCAACACCAGGACCATGCCCAGACTGTGCTGCAGCCCAGAAGGCTCTAAGCCTTTTCTTCACTCCCAGCCAACACCAGCCTTGGAGCTTCCTCTCAGTGTGGCCCAGCCTGAGAGACTCCCAAGCTCCTAGGCACTGACCCCAGCCCTCCTCACCCTCTGGCTCAGCCACCAGCTCCGTGGGCTCTGTGTCTTCCAGCTGCATCAGGAGCAACTGGGCTCGGCAGGCCAGGTCCGAGAAGGGCATATGGAGCTGGACATAGGCCACCAGCTGATGGAGGCAGGCCAGGTCGGAGAAGTCCTCCGGGTGCTTTTCTAGCCAGGATCCCAGGAGGAAGCAGAGGGCACTGGGTACAAAGGAAGCAGAGAGAATCAGAGGCCTGGAGTCTCCTGACCTCAGCCCTCTAGCAGGGATCACAGAAATGTGGCAGCTGGGGTCATGGTCAGCAACCAGTAGCACCCCAGTGTCCCCGTGGGGAGAATGGAACTTCCCTCCTGACCCAAAGCCCACTCACTCCTTAGCACAGTTGTCCTCTTCACAGTCGGATCGAAAGTATGCATACCTACAGGAAGACAGGACGTGCCACCTGTAGTGTCCTGCCTTCCACCTGACAGGAGACCTGGGGGAGGGCCTGACTCCCTGACTAGAAGGGAAGCAAACAGGGGATACAGTAATCTGTGCTAAACACTGTGTTTTGCTGAAGGCCTGGACTGGTTCCTGCACACAGCAGATGCTTCATTGTATATGCAGTTTGAATGCAGGGACTCAGCCTTCTCTTCCCAGGGGACTTAGTGGAAATGTGTCGGGGACCACGCAGCATGTGACCTCTTAGTTGAGAGACAGGGCTGGACAGGCCAGACCTGATAGTACTGATAACGCAATCTTGTGTGACCTTGTGCCTTAAGGCCTTGTAACCTTTCCCCTACTTGCATTAGCATTGCAGCTACAAGATAAGCCCCCCCTCCTTCCCCCTCCCGATACCCTGCCTCGATGATATATAAGTGTGTGGTTGAAAAATAAAGTCGCAGCTTGATCGGCACCTGTCTTGCTGCCATCCTTGTGTCTCCTGTCCCTTTCATTTCTCCTTCTAGGTGCTCGGCCCCAGTTGCTGTCCCGCGGGACGGGACAGAAATGGAAACTTTACGAGCAAAACCAGGACAGAGAAATCAGAAGTTTAAATGTGAATAAGAAAACCACATTGCCAGAGAGCATGAGTGGTGAGGACTGAAGCCCAGAGCCTCATTGTGGGAGAAGAAAAATCCTAAATGAGACCCCTGTCCTGGGCAGCTCACTCCTCAGGGCCAGGAACACGGAGATCCTTTCTGGGGCTCCTCCCATTAGTTCTAAAATCACCCAGGGGCTGCGCCGCTTCGCACCCAGATTCTGCGTGGTTAATCTGAGGCTGTGCAGGGCCTGGGGCATCCCTGAGACCCAGCCTGGAGGTGCTGAGTCATGGCAGGTCCAGCAGGTGCAGGCCCTCACCTGTGGAACAGCATGTGCAGCACCTGTTGGGTGGTGATGAACCCTCGATAGGTGTGCAAGAAGGTGGGGACGATGAAGGGGTCCCCTCGCTGCAGGGCAGGCACCAGCTCATCCACCAGATTTTCGACCAAGGCTGTGTCCAGGGTCTCCACGTTGCTGGCAGCCGACAAGGAGAGCACAGGAGTAAAATCTGGTTCCTGGGGGGGTCCTGACCCCCCTGCTGGATACTCAGGGGACTCCAGTGTCTCTGGAGCTAGAAGAAAGACTGCCCAGGGCAGTGATGTTTCTGCAAGGGGAGAAAATGTCAACGCATCAGCCCTTCCTGCTCCCTGTACCCAACAAAAGTGCCCATGACTTGCAGGGGAGCCCTAGATTGCTGGAGCTAATGCAGGAGAGACAATGTCAGCACCACAGCCTTCCCAGCTCCCTGTGGCAAACCTGGATTCCCATGAACTGCAGAGCTGTTTCGGCCATGTGCCCAAAACAGGACCCTGTCCAAACTGTGCTACAGCCCTGATGTCATAGCTCCCAGCCAGTGCCAACCTGGAGCCTCCTCTCAGTGTGGCCCAGCCCTGACACACTCCCAAGTACCCATGCACCAGCCCCAGCCCTCCTCACCCTCGGGCTCAGCCACCAGCTCCTTGGACTCTGCGTCCTCCAACTCTATAAGGAGCAGCTGAGCCCGGCGTGCCAGGTCCGAGAAGGGCATATGGAGCCTGACGTAGGCCACCGGCTGATGCAGACAGGTCAGGTCCTGGAACCCATGGAAGTCCTCTGGATAGTTTTCCAGCCAGATTTCCAGGATGGAGCAGAGGACGCTGGGGACAGGAAGGCAGGTGGAAGAATCAGAGGCCTGGAGTCTCCTGCCCCACACTCTCCCTCGCACCTCAGCAATGGCCCCTGGGCAGAGGATGCTCAGCCCCATGTGCAGGAGGGCAGTGCAGAGGCCCACGTGTGAGCCGTCTGTGCCCAGCTTCAAGGCCCAAAAAGGGAAGGGGTTGGCCAGCCCTACTGGGATGGCTTGGGTGGTGAAGAATTCCCACTGCTTCTCAGATGCCCTGCAAACCAGACAATTCTGTCTCCCTTGTCGCTCCCCGTCTTCGTGGAGGAACGACACAGGACCCTGCGCTGTTCTTTTGTCTGCTCGGCCCTCCCCGGGTTTGCTGCTGGTTCTTCCCGGGTTGGCTACCGACCCTTCCACCTCCGTGGAAGGGCAGTTCCCCCTAGCCACTTTCCCCACTTCCGCGGGGGAGCAGCACACCGCCGGCCGGCTCTCTCGGGGGCTGCACAGGTGTTCCTTCAGGTAGATGTTCCCCTTAGATGTTCCTGGTGCATGTTGTCTCTCTCCTCCTTTATAGTCCTCTTCCACCAATCCCAACTCTGCTACCCACACGCCGAGTACGCTGCTCTCCTCCAATCAGGAGCAAGATCAGCTCCTGCAGCTCAGTCAATCAAATTGGCGAGAGGCAGCTGCATAGAAGTTGTTACTCCCTTCTCAGCGCCATATTGTGGGAGAGCAGATGCATAGAATAAGTCTTAATTCCAGTAACTTAGTCTAGTCCGAGTTGCTCCCAGTTGCTCCCCACACTCCCTGCTATAGGCAAGGCCCCTGACCTCAGCCTACTAGCAGGGATCACAGAAATGTAACAGTTGGGTCCATGGTCAGCAATCCAATGACACCCCAGTGTTCCTGCTGTGGAGAATGGAACCTCCCTCCTGACCCAAAGCCCACTCACTGCTTGGCACGGTCATCCTCTTCTCTGCCAGGCTGAAAGTAGGCATACCTAGAGGAGGACAGGAGGTGTCACCTGTGGTGTCCTGTGCCCCACCTGCCAGGAGGCCTGGGGGGGAGGGGCTGACTCCCTGACTAGACAGGAAGCAAAGCAGCAGAGATACGGTGATCTGTGCTGTGGACTGTATTCTGCTGAAGGCCTAGACAGGAAACTGTACACCATGGGTACTTCATTGCATATGCAGTGTGAGTGAGGGAACTCAGCCAGCTTCTCTCAGGGGTCAGAGTAGCACTGGCACAGTCTACCTCCCATGGGTTCTCAGTTTGAGCCACAAACAGCACAGAGACACCACGTGGAAACCGGAAATTTGTATGGGAATAGGTAAACCACTTTACCAGAGAGCACGGGTGGTGAGGACTGAGGCCCAGTGCCTCATTGTGGGGTGAAGCAAATCTTAAATGAGACCTCTGTCCTGGGCAGCCCATTCCTCAGGGCCAGGCACAGGGAAACCCTTTCTGGGGCTCCTCCCATTGGTTCTAAAATCACCCAGGGGGTGATCACCTGATTCTACATGAATAATCGGAAGCTGAGCAAGGCTAGGGGTGCCACCGAGACCCTGTCTCGAGGTGCTGAGTCATGGCAGGTCCAGCAGATGTAGCCCCTCACCTGTGAAACAGCAGGTGCAGCACCTGTTGGGTGGTGGCAAAACTTCGGTAGACACGCAAGAAGTTGGGGATGATGAAGGGGTCCCCTCTCTCCTGCGCAGGCACCAGCAAATTCACCAGCCTCTGGACCATGGCGGTGTCCAGGGTCCCCATATTGTGAGCAGCCGACCAGGAGGGCACAGGAGTGACATCTGGTTCCTCAGCAGGGCCTGACTCCAGTTCATATTCTGGACACCTAGGGGCCTCCAGATCCACTGCAGGAAGACCAAAGGCTGCCCAAGGCAGTGATGGCTCAGCAAGGGCAGAAGATTAAACAGCACAGCCCTTCCTACTCCCTGAACCCAACAAATTGCTCATGCCATCCGGGGAAGGCCCAGGTTGCAGGAGCTAATGCAGGAAGAGAGAATGTCAGCACCACAGCCCTTACAGCGGCCCCTGGTGGCACACAGGTGCTCCTCCTCTCCAGAACTGCCCACACCTGTGCCCACAACAGGCCCCTGCCCACACTGTACTGCCGCCCTGATATCCCTGAGCCCGTCGTTGCTCCCAGCCAGCGCCAGCCTTGCAGCCTCCTCTCAGTGTGGCCCAGCCCTGAGACTCTCCCAGGCTCCCACGCACTGACCCCAGCCCTCCTACCCTTGGGCTTGGCCACCAGCTCCTTGGGCTCCGCGTCCTCCAACTCTGTGAGGAGCAGCTGGGCCCGGCGTGCCAGGTCCGAGAAGGGCATATGGAGCCTGACGTAGGCCACCAGTTGTTTCAGCCTGGCCAGGTCCTGGAACTCATAGAAGTCGTCTGGATAGTTTTCCAGCCAGGTTCCCAGGATGGAGCAGAGGGCGCTGGGGACAGGAAGGAGGTGGGGAGAATGAGAGGCCTGGCATCTCCTGCCCCACACTCTCCCTCACACCTCAGGGTACGGCCCCTGGGCAGAGGATGCTCAGCCCCGTGTGCAGGTGGGCAGTGCAGAGGCCCACGTGTGAGCCGTCTGTGCCCAGCCTCAAGGCACAGAATGGGAAGGGGTTGGCCAGCCCTGCTGGGATGGGTTGCATGGGGATGAATTCTCACTGCTCTCAGATGCCCTGCAAACCAGACAATTCTGTCTCCCTCTCCAGGCAAGGCCCCTGACCTCAAGCCCTCTAGTAGGAACCTCAGATGTGGCAGTTGGGGTCATGGTCAGCACCCAGTTGCACCCCAGTGTCCCTGCTGGGCAGAATGGAGCCTCCCTCCTGACCCAGAGCCCACTCACTCCTTAGTGCGGTCGTCCTCTTCACAGTGAGGCTGGAAGTAGGCATACCTAGAGGAGGACAGGAGGTGTCACCTGTGGTGTCCTGGGTCCCACCTGCCAGGAGGCCTGGAGGGGAGGGGCTGACTCCCTGACTAGCAGGGAACAAAGCAGGGTAGACCCGGTGGTCTCTGCTGTGCACTGAATGTTGCTGGGGCCTGGACTGAAGCCTGCACACAGTGGATGCTTCATTACGTTTGCTGTGTGTGATCTCAGCCTGCTCCTTAAAAGGTGTGTGGGGGCCTGGGTGCCCTCTGCCAACCCCTATTGCTTGGTTCTGGCCACTGCTAGGACAGAGACCTCCACATCGATCCGGAAGCTCTTTGGGAACAGGAAAACCACTCTGCTGAAAGCCATGGTACGGGATTCCATAGACCCACAGCCTCATCTCGGGGCCAGGGGAGGACAATCCTGAGTCAGTCCCCATGTCCTGGGCAGGCCACCGCTCAGGACCAAGCACTAGGAGGTATTTTATTATCCTGGTGGTTGCTCCCCTGAGCAGCAAGATGCTGCAAGAGCAAACTGAAGCCCTGAGTGGGGGGTCAGGATGTCTCCAGGACCCCGCCTAAGTGATGATCCCCATGTGCCTGCAGGTGCAGGCCCTCACCTGTGAAACAGCAGGTTCAGCACCTGCTGGGTGGTGGTGAACCTTCGATAATTGCACAAGAAGCTGGGGACGATGAAGGGGTCCCCAGTCTGCTGGGCAGGCAGCAGCTGCGTCACCAGCTTCTCGACCACGGCTGTGTCCAGGGTCCCCACACTGCTGGCAGCCAACAGGGACAGCACAGGGGCCTGTGCTGCTGGCTCCTCTGATTCCAGCATAGATCCTGGCCCCATCTCCGCTGCCGCGGCCTCTGCAGGGTCCGGCTCCAGGGAAGCTGAATCAGCTGCTTTTGGTGAGGGCTCCCCCTCCAGCCTGCCTGCCACCATGGCCCCCACTCCGCTGGTGTCATCCTGGGATGTGGCAAAGTCACTGTCATTCTGGGGTGAACAAGGAGGGTGGTTGTAATCCTGGCCCTGATGTTCTTCCCCCACCCTCCTGCAGTTGTCATGGGACCCAGGTCCCCATCCCACCCCCTGTCCCTTCCCATGGGCCACTGACCTCCCCAAACTACCCCCTCCACACCACCCAAGATGGATGCAGGGCCACCCAGGAGGATCAGAGGGGAGGTCTGCCCAGGGGTCCTGGCCTGGCTGGCTGAGATCACCTTGGCTTCCCTCTGAGAGAATTGCCAGAGCTGCTGTGGGCGAGGGCTGACCCAATGTCTGTAGCTCTGGAGAATATCCGCAGCCTGGGGCTGGCCCCGGCCTGGGCCTTGGGATGTTGGGAGACAACACGAGAACATATCTGCTCGATGGCCTCTGACCAACTGAACTGGCTGGGTCACCAGCACCACATTGTGGGCGCCTGGTAACCGGGGTTCCAGGTTCTGTTGTGGCCATCGTCAAGGAAGTGAGGTCACTTCCTGAGGTCCTCTCAGCGGACCTCCCCTAGGGTTCTATCACAGCTGACTGCCCCCTGGGACAGATGCTGTGTGCACACCTGCACCCAGTTACACCATCACCCCCCGCCCAGATCCCTGAGGGAGGCCTGGGCCAGCCATACTCTCCAACTAGGAGGTCATAGACCAGGGTCAGACTGGCATCTCCTTCCTCCAGGCCTGTGTCCCTGGACAAGTCCCTGTTCCTCTCAGGGACTCCCCTGTCCCCCCTCTGCTCCCAGGGGTTTATTCTAGCATTTGCTTCCAAGGGATGCCCTCAGGGGTATGGAATACTAAGCACTTGTGTGAGCTATGAAACCTGAGGCCTGGTATCAAAGCCAGGAGCTTCTTTTGGGTTTCCCATGTAGGTGCAGGGGCTCAAGGACTTAGGCCATATTATACTTCTTTCCCAGGCCATAGCAAGGAGCTGGACTGGAAGTGGAGCAGCAGGGACTCAAACTGGCACCCATATGCGATGCTGGCCCTGCAGGCAGAAGCTTTACCTGCTATGCCACAGCACCAGCCCCTTGAAGGTCAGTTTCAAAGTCACTGATTTAAGTTTTGTACAAACAATCTGAGGTCATTCTCTCTGATGATATTAACAAACTGAATGCCTGGTATGACAACATTGGACAGAAAAATGCATGTAATTTTTATGACAATAAAAGTTATAACAATTTAGGAAAGGATATTTATATGTCCATTTTCCATAGCAGGAAAACACACAACCATGTCTTTGCATAGGGATATCAATTATGCAAGAAACACACAATATTATCTTGCTACATGTGTTTGTGTGTGTGTGCACTGTATACAATTACACACCCAGAGGAAGAGACAAAGGACTTATGTTTATTCACTAAAATTATTTTTAATCTTGTAAACTTGGAGACAACTTCCACAGGCTGTGTTTGGCTGAAGATTTTTCTGGAATCATTGTACCTCGGTGTCCACACAGCAGAGACCTCAGTCACACGTGGTCCTTTTCCTATGATGGCCAGGGAGGTGGACACAACCCGCTCCCCGATTCGTCTCAGGATGAGACAGCAGTGACCGTAACTGAATCCCTGTGTCTGAAATGCACCTCCTCCCAGTGTGCAATAGTTACTTTGGGAAACAATGCCTTGTATGTGAGGGGGAACGGTGTAAGGCTTGGGAAGAACAGCAGAGGAAGACGCAGGCTTGCAGATTTGAGACGTGTAGATTATTTACTGATACCTACAATTTATTTAGGCAGGTAAGTCCAAGTAAGAGAACACGTCCGAGGAGTAAGTCCAGGCGGATGCTACCTGGGGGAGCCGCCTGTCAGAGGACATTTAACGTAATTGTGCCAGAGAAATATATGGCGACCATTCCTGGTGACATGGACTCCTGTTTTGCATAATGAACTTTGTGAACAAAGAAATAAACGGCACCATGAGAGGCTTGTTTGAGTCTCAAGGGGAGGTGGGCACAGAGTCAGCCCCTCCTCAGCTGAGTACAGACGCTCTGCCATTTACAGTGGGTGACACCCCGGGAAGTTGCAAATCCTGCAAGCTGGGATGCATTCAGCACAGCAACTTACTAAACATCCTAGCTGAGCTGAGCCTGCCTCGAATATGCGCAGCACACCCACATCAGCCGACAGAGGGCGCAGTCACCCAGCCCAAAGCCTGGTTTACACCAAGGTGCTGAACACCTCCTGTAGCAGGCTGAGCACCTGCGTGCAAAGGGCACCAGGAGCCCGGCACCCACAAACCACCGGCTGACTGCGAGCTGCCCCGTGTCAGGAGAGAGCATGGACCATGGAGTGCTGGCCCAGGGGAAAGACTAAATTCAAAACCCAGGCCCAGTTTCTACAGAAAGCCCTTGGCTTCCCCACGATCCTGAAGTCGGGAAATCCTTAGGTGGAACCCTTGTACATCAGGGGCCTAGTGTGTACAGAAATATGCGAGGACCCTTTCAACTTAGGATGTTGATACATTTATTCATTGATGATTCTTTCAGGCTTCTGTCCACACAGCCATGCCCAGGGCACTGTCTCAGTGCTCCCAAACTTCTGGAATCTTTGCAGGATAAGCACGCTTGGGTTCATCACAGGCAGCCCCTCTGTCACCATCCAGGGCAAACTGCAGCAATGCTGACCCCTCCCTGATCACCTAACCCCACCCAAGCCCAGCCAGTTCCCCTGCACCCTCTCTATGCAAGGCCCCAAGGTTCTCTAGGGCCTGTGCACCCCAGAGAATTGCAGCAGGTAACAAACCCCAGGCTGATGGTAGGTGTGGTCCTTTGGCCTCTGCCTGGGGCCCTGGACGGTGATGAGTGTGCTGCTGCCCTGGGGGCTCTGGGCAGATCTCTCAGGAGCGAGGGGCTGGGACGTGGTGGTGGGAGGCAGGAGGGGAATCAGGCAGCCTGAGCCAGTGTGGACGCGCCATGGTTGGTTGGTAGAGTGTGCCATGGGCAGGGGAGGTCACGCCCAGAACCCTTCCCTCTGCACCCAGCCCCCAAGTGCACCCCTCTCAGTGAGAGCTCAGAAGCCATTTGCCAGGTGAATGAGCCCCGGGTGAACAAGCTGGTGCTGTGCCTGGGGTAGTGTTTGCTGAGGATGCCAGAGCCAGGTGTGGCACCAGCCCAGCCCCTCCTTCCTCCACAGGGTCCCCTTTGCTTGGTCGGCAGTCAGGGGCTCCTGCGATTTTCACAAATCCAAATCCCCTCTTGTAGCAGCCAGCACGGCAGCACAGCTGCTGATTTCCCCAGGGCTGTCGACAGCGAAGCCAAATGACACCTGCAGGAACTTTCTCCTTTTCTTCTTCCTGAGCGGCGAGTGCAGCCAGAAGCAGCATCTTGTGCACAGCACTGTGAGCCGGCCCGAGAAGCATTAAGGCAGCGCCCCCGCCTCTTAGTGGGGGGACTCACACTGGCACAGGAACCCACAGGGCTCGAGTTGAGTCCTACACTTTCCTAACGCCATCTCTACAAATGGATTTGCTGCCCAGGCTGTGATGAAACCTGGGAGGACTTGGGGGAGGGAAACCCTTGTCGTCAGCAGGTGGAAATACAAACAAATGAAACACATCTTTAAAAAAAAAAAAAAAAACTCCATGATTCTGACACTGGGGATCCACGGTGTAGAAATGGCAGGATGGTGTTAGAGCCAGGTCTTACAAGGAATTATAGCAGGCTTTGTGCTCTGTGGCTAAAACTGGAAATGAAGTCCTCTCAATTTCGGGGCAATGGTGGAGTAAATCATGGCTCATTCACACCACAACATTATAGAGCCATCAAAATTACACCAGAAACACAGCCATTCCATCCCTGTTCAGGAGTCTCCAAGAAAAACAGTTGACAGAGGTGACATGGGTGCAAGTCAGCCCATCCGGGGCAGAAGGAGGAGCACTGGGTCCTGTGCCAGCCATGGTGCATCCTGGGTGTGATTTTATCTGTGTGCCTGTGTGTGACGACCACACGAGCCTGGAGAGACTGACAAGAGCCATGTGAGGCTGGGGACTGGTTACAAGCAAAGCAGGGGTGATGGGGGGTGGAGGAGCAGACACAAAAGGAAAGTGAAAATGAGCCGAGACAGCAGATAAAAAACCCAGCTGTCGGGGCAGGCATTTGGCTCAGCAGTTAAGATAGTGCCCGGGATACCCAGAGTGCCTGGGTTCAATCCCCAGCCCTGCTCTTGGCTCCCGCCTCCTAATGTGCACCCTGGGAGGCAGCAACTGTGGTCTCAAGTAAGCCATGAGGATCCAGATTGAGTCCTTGGCTCCTGGCTTCAGCCTGGCCCAGCCCTGGGAGTCGCAGCATACGTAAGGTGGGTCGGCACATGGGGGCTCTGTGCCTGCCTGTCTCTAGCTCTTTCTGCCTCTCTGCCATTCATGCAAACAAACAGAAAAGCATTTTTGGCATGCTCCATTTTGGTAAAGTTACCTGGGTGCAGAAAGTGACCTTGTTAACGGGAATGACCGGGACTCACTGTTAAACAAGAGGAAGCAGCTGAGTGACAGTGTAGAAACAGGATTTATGTAGTTACAACCCACTGGGTTGTTGAACAGCCCGGAAATCTTGAACAAGAAGACGCTGAGAAATTTCATCCTCACCGATTCCACCACTTCTACAAAACTGTCGGAATCAGAGCAGGGAGGAGCTGACCAGGAGACAGACGCATTGGAATGAAGGGGAGGCCCCGGCATGAGCCCTCCCTCCCCCAGTGCTGTGATTGCCAGTGGGGGCCCCAGCGACACCCAGTGGGGAAAGTACAGCCTTCTCTGCTAAGCTGCTGAGACACCAGGTGAACCCCAAACAAAAGGACGAGTTCTCGCTTTCTATCCCATACAGAAAGTAACTCTCACAAGGGACCAGATACCCACATGTCAGAGCTAAGCTGTACGAGTCATGGGAGTGAACACAGGGGAAGAGCTTCCAGACAGGGGCAGGTGCCGTGGTGCCGCTGTTAAGCTGCCATTTGGGACGCCCACATTCTGTATCAGGGCGCCTGGGTGTGAGTGCCTGCTACTCAGCCCTTCCGATCCAGCTTCCTGCCAATGCGCCTGAGCGATGGTGGACAATGGCCCAGGTGTCTGGGCCCCCGCTCCCCACTCAGAGGACTTGGACTCTGACACTTGTTACAGCATGGGGAACTTGGGGCCTTTGTGCTGGGCAAAATAAGCCACAGACAGAAGGGTGATCCCTGTGGGATTCCACTCCCACAAGGGACCCAGAGCAGCCAGGGTCACAGAGACAGGGAGCGGCATGGGGGTGACCAGGGGCTGGAGCAGGGGCGTGAGCAATTGCTCTGCAATGTGCTCTGAGTGTCAGTGGGGGACGATGGAAGGGTCCTGGAGAGGGATGATGGTGAGGGCTGAGCAGTGCTGTGCATGTTCTCAATGTCACGGACACACAGTGGCTGGAGGGGCGTTTAGCCTGTGGTTAGGACCCCAGGTAGGTACCTGTGACTCACAACAGAGCACCTGAGTTCAAGTCCTGTCTCCAGTTCCTGACCCCAGTTTCCTGCCACTGCAGCCCCCTGGGAGGCAGTGGTGATGGCTTAGGTGGCTGGGTCCCTGCCACTCATGTGGGAGACCAGACTCTCAGCTTTGAGTGGACCTGGGCCTGACTCTCGTGAGCACTGGACGAGTGAGCCAGTGAACGGGAGGTCTCTGAAATAAATAAGCTTTGAAAAATGTTTCAATTGATAAATTTTATGCCGGGTGTATTTTATGACTGATGCCTCGGAGATGTGTTGTCCAGGCTCGGGTATGCATGGAGGCTGAGAGCAAAGTGGGCTGAGCTGGGTCCGGGATAGAATGCCTGAAGGGAGACAGCTTCCTTTGTTTTAATACAACGTTGGCTCTGTTTTATTTGCTATAGCAAATACAAAGCAATTTGGCAGATTAAAGCATCAAATAAGGGATTGTTTTCTTTTCGTAGCAGGACCAAGGAGGCAGATTGTGCATCCAGCCAAGGGTTGATTTTGTTCCTCTCTTGTGGATGCCCGATGTTGTGTCTGCGTAAGTTTTCCTATCCCAGTGTCTCACCTTG